GGGAGCGGCCACCGCACTCCAATCTGGGCGACAGAGTGAGACTCCAACTCAAAAAAAAAGCAGACAATAATTGTACAGCATACTGACTACAGTTAATAACTGCATAGGGTATACTTGAAAATTGTTAGGAGTAGATTTTAAATGTTCTCACTGCAAAAAATGAGTATATAAGGTCATGCGAGTTTTCATTAGCTTGATTCAGCCATTCCACAATGCACACATCTATCAAAAATCACGTCGTATATCGTAAATACAAGAAAATCCCCACACAAGTAAATTTAGTAAAAAACATTTTTGTTTTTCTGCCTTACAACAAGTGAATTTTGTATGAAATTTCTACCTTTAAGGGTTGTTTCAGTACCATAAAATCAGAAGGTTAAGAGGGAGATTCATAGTATTATATTTTTTGATTCCAGAACAATCTGGAACACCCTCAGCCAATCAGGCCACCTATTTGTGGTGGTTTAAGAGCATGCTGGCCCAGGTGTTCCTTCTGTTCACGGCTCAGGGCCTGGAGAGAGCCTCGCCTCTTTGAGTTGCCTTGTGAGGTCCTGAGCGTCCTGGTCTTCAGATCAGTTCCATCTAAGACCACTAGCTTGTTAGGAGCGGGGCTGCTCCAGACCTCCCTGGGAACGATGTGGGTTAGCCCGGGCCCACTGACCCAGCGTGGATGGTTCCTCCTGGAGTCGAGGTTGGAGCTGTGGCAGGATTGCACAGCAAGTCCTCTGGGGCTGTTGGCTCTGTTGGCTCAGGACTCTCAGCCAGGAAGCCTGCAGCCAGCATCTCCGTTGCAGGGCCACCATCTGCACGCTCTTGTTTGAGGAGCGTGGGACCTGGAAGAACAGCAGAATGGTGACTCCAGTGAGCCCAGAAACCCAGCACAGCCCTGCCCACAGCAGGCATTCGGGAAATGGTTTTCTAACTGACTGAGGACGAGCCTAAAGCATATTTTCTTTTGGCGCCGATTGGAAAGGGGATTATAGCTTCCTTAGTGAAGCACTTTCTTTTCTTTAGAGCAGATGTCATGTGGCCATTCTGTATGGAGAGAGATCATTCAGTTCAATTTAAAGGACATTTATGTGAAAATTTTTTAGGGTTTGCAAATAGTTCTGATTGCTGAGGAAATCATTACGTTTATTGGATCACAAATTCCAGGACTAAAGAGCAACTTGGAGATCAAGCGCTCTGTTCTGTTATCTTGCAGACAGTGAAACTGGGGCCTTAAGCTTAAGCTAGCAGTTGCACTTTCCTGCTATCATTAACTTTTTCTACCAATAATACCACTCCTCCAAATCACTTTTGATAGTCAACTGGTACAAGTGACCTTGTTCCAAATGAGTTTGAATCAATTTTATTCTGAAAATTTTGTTAAGCCACATATGTCAGTCTGGCGAAATCCCCTTGGAGTGATTAAAACCCAGCCTTAGGGATTTCTGATGAGGGGTAACACCTCTGCCATCTTTTGAATGGTCAGAAACATGGCTGCCTCGTTCCATAGAGACAAAGCCTCAGAGGCAGATCTGCAGTCGGGTAAGCAGCCATTCCTGATGGTGAAACTGTGGAGAAAGAGTCAAGGGAGAGGAAGTGTCCTGTGCCCGCGAGATTGGTCGTTAGAAGTGAAGGAGGCGGAGCCATTTATCCCCCCGGGCGAGTCACAGAGTGGCGCGCCCATCAGTGAGGTCAGCACCGAGCTCCATCAGCAGCCCCGAATGGGATGAGGAAGAAATGGCTGTGACAAAACCTCTGGAGCTCGGTAAAACTGCATTTCGGGTTTAGAGTGTTAGAGGTAAATGAACACCATGCTCTGTGGCCATTAAGGAGAAAGAGCTCTGGGCACAGGACATCAGTCTTCCATGGCTACAAACTAGATTGCAAGGTTGCTCTTTCACTGTGAATGGACTTGACTTTCATGTTTGTTGTTTCAGATGGTAGAAATGGTGTGTCTCCATGTGATTAGTTTAATGGAGGCATTACAAGAATGCAATTCAACCATTTTTGTCAAGGTAGGAAAACCTTATGATTTTTATAGACCGTTTCTTACTGCCAAAGCAAATGTGGATTTACTTTGAATCAACTTTCTGAAGAGTAAACTAAAACTGATTTAGCTTTAACATTCAGAGTCGGGGCCAAAGGATTCGGGCTCCGATAACAACTCTTTACCAAATGGTTACTGTGTGGATTTTGTCTTTCTCTACCCCAGTGACCAGCTCTGCCCAGGCAAACTAGGTCAGACCACAGCTGCATGTGCCACAAGTAATTAAAATGCTACTGTGGGACTTTGATGTGAAGTGACCCCGCACCAATATAAATCCCTCGTCTTGCTAAAGATAGCCAGAAGACCAAGGCAAATGGTCGGTAGTAGCTTGACTTGGTATCTGGTGCTTTTCTCTAAGATAAATTAATTTGGTTTCAAATAATATTATTTTAAATCATTAGGCAGTATATGAAAGCAATTCAGCATCTGTCACTTGATTATGGGGACACCAAGAACAAGCTAGTTTGATTTAAAAAAGCAAAGTAGAGAACTTGGTTCCTCCCTCCCTTCCTGTTTTTCTTCTTCTTCCCGTCATCCCACCTCTCTGTCGTTTCCTCCCTTGTCTCACACCTCTTCCTTCCTGATCTTCACTTCTATATCCTGTTACCTTGGTCGCCATCACACCGCCACCCGTCATGCCATGCATCAGTGAGGCGCCTGAGGACATGACATGCCACTGCTTGGTTAGCTCCACTCTGCGGTAAAGGGCCCTTGTCATAGCAACTCGCTGGTTGCTGCAGAAAAGCAGCCCATTTTTAGGGAAAACTTGACTGTCACCAAAATAGTACAAGATCACCGACTCAAATGGGATAGTTAGATCTCATGTAGTTCTATAAAGCAGAAATCAACAATGAGAGAAACTTTATGTCTGACAGCTGGATGAACACGACTGATTTTATTTTTCACAGCTTTATTGAAGTATAATTTACATATGTAAATTGTGTATGTTTGAAATATGCAGTTTGATCAGTCTTGACTTATTCTGCACCCATTAAACCATCACCACAGTCAAGATCACGAAGACATCCATCACCTCCAGAAGTTTTCTCATGCCCATTTGCAGCCCTTCCAGCGCACCACAGCTTGCATCCGTCGCCCTGTGCCCGGACGACTGCTCCCTCGCTCTGGGTCACTGCAGGCTAATTTGCACTTTCCGTCGTTTCCTGTAAAATGCTTCCGCGCAGTTCATGCATTTTTCTGCCTTCTTTGGCTCGTGATAATTACGCTGGTATTGTCCCACATCGCTGCGTGTGTAAGTAGGCTGTTACTGCTTACGCCCGAGCAGTAGTCCACTCATCAGCTGATGGGCCTCTGGGATCTTGCCAGCGCGGGGCTCTTGCCAACAAAGCAGCTGCTCATACTCATGAACAAGCTTTTGTGTACACGTATGCTCTCATGTAGCTGGGATAAGTACCTAGGAGTGGAATGTCTGAGCCACATGGCCGACATTATTTGCCTTTGCAAGAAATTGGCAAGCTGTTTTCCAAAGCGCGCCCTGTTGACGTTCACACTAGCCAGACCTGAGCATTCTAGTTTCTTCACATCTTTGTCAGCACTTGGTATAGTCAGCCTCTAATACTAAGTATTCTAAGAGTTGTGTGCCGGCATATCATTGTGGTTCTGAATTGCATTTCCCTGTGTGCACTTGATGTTAAGCATCTTTTCATTGCATATTTGCTATTCATATATCTGCTGGGTTAAGTGTCTGTTAAAATGATTTGCCCACTTTTTATTGGGTTAGGTTTTTCCTTACTAATGCATTTTGAGATACAAGTTCTTTATCAGATATGTGATTTGCAAAGATTTTCCCCCCTGTGGCTTGTCATTTCATTGTCTTAGGAGTGTCTTGCAAAGGTCAGGAGTTCTTCACTTTGATGAAGTGCCGTCACAAAAGTTTTATTTTATGGATCATGCTATCGATGTATTTTTGAAAAAAATCTTTGCCTAATCCAAAAATCATAAATAATTTTCTTTTTATTCTTGGTGTTTTCATCTGGCTCATGTCAGTGATCCATTTTGAGCTCACTTCTGTATACGGTATGAGGCATGGATTGAGGTACAGATCTCCAGTTATAACAGCATCACTATTAAAAATATCATCCTTTCTCCACCAAATTGCCTTTTCACTGTTGTCAGAAATCAACCAACCATGTATGTGTGGTTCTATCTCTGGATTCTTGATTCTGCTCCATTGATCTCTTCATTGATCTTTACACCACACTGTCTAGATTACTCTAGCTTTAAAATGTGCCTTGACCTCAGGTAGCGTCAGTCTTCCAAATTGCTCATAGTTTTCAACGTTGTTTTAGCTATTTAGGCTCTTTGCATTTCTGGATACATTTTTTAATTGGTTTGCCGATCACTACAAAAAGATTGTTGGTAATTTTATTGGGATTGTCTAGAGTTCACAGATTAGTTTAAGGAGAGGTGAGATTGTAACAGTATTGAGTCTTCTGGTTCATAAATACAGTAGACCTCTCCATTTATTTATGTCTTTATAAACTTTTCTTTTATATAAAGCAATATTTTATAGCTTTTCACATTCAAATCTAGATATTTTTATCAAATTTATCCACAAGTGATCATATTTTTGTGCTATTCTAAATGGTATGATTTTTTGCATTTAAATTTCTGATTATTCATTGCTGATTTTTTGGAATACTTTATTTATTTATTTTTTTGAGTTGGAGTCTCACTCTGTCAGTCAGACTGGAGTGCAGTGGCCGCTCCCAGCCACCGCAGCCTCGACCCTCTGGGCTCTAGCGATCCTTCCAACTCAGCCTTCCAAGTAGCTGGAACTACAGGCGCGTGTATGATTTATTGTAGAGATGAGGTCTCGCCAAGTTGCCCAGGCGGGTCTCAAAACCGTGGTCTCAGGCAATCCACTCACCTCAGCCTCCCAAAGCACTGGAATTACAGGCTGAGCCACTGAGCCCGGCTAATGATTTTTTGGAATACAACTGGATTTTGTATTAGTCTTCTACTTTGCGACCTGTTAAACTAATTTATTATGCATAGTAACCTTTTTTGTAGATTTTGTCAGATTTCATATACAGATAATTATGTCATGTACAAATAAGGGATTTTTAATCTCTTCCTTTTCAGTTGGTGTGCCCTTTATTTCTTTTTTTGTTTGTTTCATGGCTCTTTATAGAACCTCCAGTACCAGTTGGATAGAAGCAAAGACATATCCTTGCCTCTATAAGCTGCCTTACTACTAATCCTAGGAAAAAGCTCTCAGTTCTTCATTATAATACTGTTAGCTGTTAGTCTTTCATAGATAATTTTTATCAGATTGAAGTTTTCTTCTATTCCTTGTCTGCTAAGAATTTTTGTCAGGAATGGTCACTGAATATGTCAAATGCTTTTTCTACACCCATTGAAATTGGTCATATGACTTTTTTTTTTTTTTGCTGTAAATATGGTGAGTTTCACTGATTGATTTTTGAATGTTAAACTACTGTTATTCATGATATAAACCATACTTGGCCATAGTATATTATCCTTTTTACATCTTGATGAATTCAATTTGCTAGCTTGTTAAAATAATTTTTTAATCAATGTTTAGGAGAGATATTGGACGATAATATTTTTTTCTTGTGATGACTTTATTTAATTTTGGTATCAGGGCAATGATGGCCTCTGCTTCCTAAAAAAGTTTATATAGAATTGGTATTATTACACCCTTAAATTTTTAGTAGAATTTGCCAGTGGAGCCACCTGGGTTTAGAATTTTCTTTGCTGAAGGGTTTTAAACTGCAGATTAAAATTTTAAACTACATAGAGGGCTACTCAAGTCATCTGTTTATTTTTCAGTGCACTTTGGTAGTGTATGTCTTTCAAGGATTTTGTTCATTTCATCAACTTAGTCAATTTTATTGGCATGAGGTTGTACATAATATGCCCTTGATATACTTTTAATATTTGTCGAATCAGTAGGCAATTAATAGTTATGTTACCTCTTCATTCCTGATATTAGTGATTTGTTTACTTCTCTATTTTTTGTCTCATCTGCTTGGATAGAGGTTTGTCGATTTTAGTGAGCTTTTAGTTAAGAAAAAAAATCTAGCTTCTTGGTTTTCATTGATTTTCCTTTTTGTTTTTCTTTTCTGTTTCATTGATTTCTGCTCTTTATTTTCTTGCTTCTGATGACTTTAGATTTAATCTGCTTTTCTGTTTTCTAGTTTCTTTAAATTGAAGTGGAGCTAATTTATTTGAGACTTTTCTGCTTTCTAACAGAAGTGATTAGTGCTATAAATTTTCCTCTCTGCATTGGTTTAGCTGCATCTCACAATTTGGAATGTTGTGTTCTCATTTTCATTTGCTTTAAAATACTTTCTATCTTTCTTTTTTGATTTCTTTCTAGCATTGATAATTTAGAAATCTTTTGTTTTGCTTCCATATATTTGGGGATTTTCAGAAGTCTTTCTATGAACATACTTGTAATTTCATTGTGGTCATAGAATATACTTCATATAATTTGAAATATCTTACTAAATACTTTGTGGGCACCAGAAAAGAATTTGTCTTCTGTTGTTGTTGCTTGGAGTTTTCTATGCAAGTTAGTTCAAACTTGCTGATAATGTTGTTCAAGTCTTCTATAGCCTTTTTGTTTCTGTTCACATATCCTATCAATTATAGGAAAAAGTTACTGAAATATATCTATAATTGTGGATTTGTTTTTGCTTAATGTATTATGAAGCTTTATTAGGTATATAAATGTTTTGAGTCATTATATTTTCTTAATTAATTAAAATTATGAGATACCTCTCTTCATTCTTTGGTAATAGTCTTTGCTCTGAATACTGCTTGGTCTGACATTAATAAAAGCAGTTCAGCTTTCTTTTGACTAGTGTTAGATGGTAGATCTTTTTATGTCCTTCTCCTTCTATTTTACCTGTGTCTTTGTATTTAAGATGTATTTCTCACAGGCAGCATACAGTTGAATGCTTCCTAAAGAATCCAGTC